CTTACGAGATATTGTAATGTCTTGAATCAATCTTTGCTGCATTTCCACATCCACTGTGCAGCGTTCCTGCTCTCTCGCCTCGACTGTTGTAACAGCCTCTTAACTGGCCTTCCCCCCTCTACCTCAGATCCCCTCAAATCCATCCTCAAGGAGTGGTCCCCCACTGCACTCAGCACCTCGCCTACGGAGGTGACAGGTCCAGGGCGGACCAAGCGCAGCGCCCGGGTCCGTAGGGTAACGAGCGCGCGGGCAAGGCGAGGCAGGCCCGCGAGAGGCCCCCCAGTGCGCCCCGGCCGTGCACCCCGCTCAGGTGCGTGCGGAGGCGGAGGCGGCGGCGCGGGCTCCCGCTTCACGGGGTCGCGGCCCGGCGGGGAAGGCGCACGGGAGCGCGCCCGAACGGACAGTGCGCGCCACCGGCTCCTCACGTCCAACTCTCGGGGTCCGCCGCCTGCTCGCCCACCGCCCCCCGCGGCCGGATAGCGGTCCCGCCCTGGAGAGCAAAGGCCCGGAAGTGAAGGGCGGTGGGGCCCAAGGAACCGGGGACACCACGCTCCGCTCGCCGGGCTCCGCGGGAACCGCTGCGCCGCGCCCGGGCTCCGCCCCCTCCCACCACCTGACCCCGCTCAGCCAATCAGCCTGCCCACGCTGTCCCGCGGGGTGCACCGCGCCTATGAAGCGCGCGGATTGGCTGGGGGTGTGTCACTCAGCCAATCCGCACGCGCCCCGGGCCTCGCGGCCCCGCCTTCCCCTCCCGCTTCTGGGCTCCCGGGGCGTCGCGGGTTCCGGCAGTTGGTGAGCCGAGATGGAGGCGACCACGGCGCCCAGCAGGGACGCGCGGGGAAGTGTCGTGTGTCCGCCCAACGGCTGCCGGAAGGAGAGCCGGCCGGAGAGGTGCGCGCCGCGAGGGGAGGGCAGGGAGCGCCGCTGGACGAGGAGTCCGGGGGTCCCGCCAGGGAGGACAGAGGGCGACGGCCGGTGGCCGCTGTCGGGGTGGGGGTTCCGCCGGGGAGATGTCCGCGGGGAAGGCCCAAGTCAGGGATGCGAGCTTGAGAAGGAAGGGACGCGAGGCGGAGAGGTGACATTTGGTTGAAGCTGAGTGACATCAGGAGTCAGGTTTACAAGTTCTGGGAAAGAAGAGCATGTCGGTCTTAACAGGAAAAACCCACATTCTGTAAAGTAATATAAAGAGGTTATTCTGAGCCAGTGTGTGTGACTGTGGCCCAAGAAGTCTTGAGCAAGTGGTCCCGAGGCAGTTGGGTTTAAGGTTGGTTTTATACATTTTAGAGAGACAGGAATTTCAGGTAAAATCATAAATCCATACGTGGAAGCTATACATTGGTCTGGCCCGAAAGGGTGGAACCTCTTGAAGCTGGGCTGGGGGGCGCTTGCAGGTTGTAGGTGGGTTCAAAGATTCTTTGATTTGTAATTGGTTAAAGAAATAAAGCTTTGTCTAAAGGCCGGGAATGTTTTAAGGAAGTCCGTTAATCAGAAACAGGCCACTGTATACTCAACAGACTCACGGGATCTGTTTAGCAAATTGACCGCCTGCAGGTGATTTAACCTTTGCTCTGCAGGGCCTGAGGTCCTGTTAATAATTTAGTGTCTTATCTTACGATCTCTTGTTTTAACATTAATGCTAGTCAGTTGTCTAAACTCCAAAAGGGAAGGAGGGGTAAGGAGGCATGTCTGACCTCCCTTCCCTTTATGGCCAGGAGCTCAATTTTAAGGTTTTCTGGGGTCCCCTTGGCCAAAAGGGGCCCATTCAGTCAGCGGCAGCCTTAGGATTTTATTTTAGTTCACACCAGGAGGGGGACAGAAGCAGCAGGTAGTCCGCGTGGCTGGAGAGGAGTGGGGAGCGGGCTTGTTGGAGATGACCCGCAGAGCCTAGGAAGGACCTGGGGGTTTGAGCAGGGGAGTGATGGAATTTAATTACGTTTTGAAGGAGCACCGGCTGCTTCCTAGAAAGTGGGGGCGGGGTGGTTGTGGGACAGGGGACCAAGCAGGGAAACCAATTGGGAATCTTTTGTCATAATCTAGGAGGAGGTGTGGCGTGGTGTGGACTGACCGTTGAGGAGATTCGCTGGTGCGTTGGTGTGGGAGACAGGAGGAATTAAGAAGGTTGTCTGCCAGGCTGCTGGTCTGAGCAACTGGAAAGTGGAGGTGACCACCACAGAGAGGGGGAGACAGGGAGCACTTGGTGTCCACACTGCTGCTTACGTCTGAGAGGGCAGGAGGGGGATGTGTGCGTCTTCTCATTTGTGAGTCTTCTCTCTCCAATCCAGGAATGCACTGAGTCCTTTTATTAATAATCCTGCTCACTGCCATGCCTAGACTATGAGGGGAGTCTGGGTCCATGCCTAAATCACGTCTGTGTCGTTAGGCGTTCTCCGTTGGTTGGGACAGTGAGGCTAGCTGGGAAAGTGTCCGCTAGGGAAGGAGTGGAGAGGAGATTCCCAGGCTTTTTTGTTTTTTGGTTATGAAACTAATAGAGTTCAGCTTCCTCACTCAATATTGACAGCACTTTCTGGAAGTGGCAAATAATGGAGCAAAGTAATCTGTAAAACATTGATCTGAAATTCAAGCCATAGATTAGTTCAGCCAAGCAACAGATTGAAAAGCGGCAGTCACTCAGCAAACACTAGCGAGCTTGAGGTACCACGGGATGCTTATTTGTAGGAAAGAACAGATTTAAGGGCACACACAGTCACAGCAGGGCTGGGAAATTCCTGGACTGTTTATGCTAATATCAGAGTGGTCAAGGATGACTAGTCAAACTTCCCAAAGCCTTGTACCTGTTGGGTGATTCTGAACAGAAAAGATGCCGCATTGAAACTAATGTACTTTCTGCCCACGCCTTGTGGCTCAACAGCCACGGTTAGTTACGTGTGTCTGAGTTTTCACGTGGATTGGTCTAAACCAACTGTAGAAACTAATTGTTGTTTATTTAAAAATGAGGTTAATTCATTAATAGTATCAGACAGGATTGCCTACTATATGTTAATATATTTCTGAAGGTTAGTAAAAAGATGTACAGATAAATTTTATTTAGTGGGAGGTCTTTCATGGGATTTGTATTTTCTGTGGCATTTACTTTGTCATCTTATAAATCAAGCCCCCGCTGTGTGGCAGCCGTGGTCTCCAGCACTGGTGACAGAGTAGTGAGAAAAACAAAGGCCACATATGCGTGAGGCCGCACTTCTGTCACTCTACTGAGGTGGACTGTAAGGAATAAAGCTAGTGTGTCAGGTGATATGATGCCCCGGAGAAAGTAGGAAGGGGAGGGGACATGGAGTGCTGGGGTGGGAAGAGCGGAGGTGGCTGCAGTTTTAAATAGACTTTGGGAAGCCTCACGGGGGAGGGCCAGTTGGAGCAAAGACCTAGAGAAGGTACGGGCAGGGCGAGGTCATCCTAGGCAAAGAATACCAAAAGTGCAAGGCCTGGGGCCAAAGCGTGCCTCCCCCAGGGAGAAGGTCAGGGTGGTGGGAGGAGGAGGGGCAGCAGGAGGAAGTGGCTCCAGAATCACCAGAGCCTCACAGACCATGGCAGAAACGGGTGCAGGGAAATGAAAGAAAACCAATGAAGTTAGAACAGCTAACTGTTTTCTTCCCTGCAGGAAAGTTTACATGGACTATAACGCAACCACGCCCCTGGAGCCAGAAGTTATCCA